AAATCTGCACTAGCTACCAGGCAGATAAAAAATTTTCCTCATAGCAATGAGCTCTGTTGAGATGGGGTTTTCCATAAGACCACCTTGTATGCTTTCCAGTATATACAGTATACAGTATATACAGTACTGGACTGCCACTCATGAGAAAGCATAAGGGGATTTTGCCCATCTCTGTTGACCCCTAGATTGAATAAATCGATGTTAATTTGATCTTCAAAATAGGGAATGTGGTTCACCTATTGCACTATCTCTGGAGCATTGTTCCTCAGGGTTCCCCAACAAGAGTAATCCCCCCCTCTCCCCCCAATTTCTTCTAGTTTCCAGTTGCTGGAGTGGTGGACAGAGGTTTATTTCTCCTGAGTGATGCTTGAATTATTATTCTGCTCAAAGAGAAGAGAGCAAAGCTGGGTGCCCTCCTACCAATAACCTGGATGGTTTTCCCAGATGTATTGGGAGAACAGGACCAGCTTACGTGGGAGCCTCCTCATAATTCCAGTTCAGAGATGACTCTTCGCTATCTGGTTGAGTTGAGCATGGCCCTTCTTTTTGGTCATTATCATTATTTTGATGATCGTGGAAAAGGGATCTTGACTTTTCATAATACTGCACATGGAGCATCTGTTCCTGTGCCATTGGTTGGACTTAGTTTGTTTTACATCCTCCTTTTAATTCTGTGATTAGGAGCAATGATCTCTCTAATTTTTTCAATTCATGTGGAAAATGGATTTTTTATGTGCACCAGTATCAAGGCAATGTGTGGATATACGCTACCAGTTTTTTTTTTTTGTTATTGTTTTTAGACCATCAACCCTATTGGATTATTAGGCCACTTTGCAATGCTACCAGTTGGTTGTTTGGGCTTTAGGCCTATTGACTGCCAGGTTCATTGAGGCTATCAACATTATTGAGGATGTGCATGGCTTGAATAATGAAGTGCACGGCACTTGATTGTTTGTTGTGTGGCCGCGCAGCTTAGAGGGAGCACTCATCAGAGGGTGTTGTTTTGCCTCTCAGGCTAGGGAGTTAGTATTTCTGTTTCTAATCCCAGGCCAGGTGCTTCTTCAGATTGGGGACATGGTTTGTCTACTTTTGTGTTGGTTGCTTTCTCTTCATAATTCCAGTGGCTTGACATGCAACATTCTGTAACTGTCAGGTTGGGTTCTAATAATACCACATTACAAAACATGAACAACTAAAAAAGAGGTCATCATGCCCGAACCACTGTGCCTTGGGTCTAACTTTGGGTCCACAGCCCTATAATTCCAATGATGGATGTGGGACCTCATCTGCCTTGTTGGGGCCTGGATAAATCATGTGAGTTTGGTACAATATTTTATCAATTCATGTTCACTTCTTATGATGTTAGGGTTTTGCCTCTGGCTGGTCAGCCTTTACCACCCATGAATTAGATTTCATGTTGTCTAGGTGAAGAGCATAGAAGTACTGCGAACCCCACAAGTATGTTATTATTATATCTCATTTTTGCACACCTCTTTTCTACGCAAATGCCTTCTGTGTAGATCTTGCCCTCAACAGCCCCTTCACCTTGTCAATGTGGGATACTAGCTATAGTGTGAAAGGAGGTGTGTTTTGGATATTAACATTTTCCTATACACTCTACCACCATTTCTCCCCATGATATGGCTTGTGTTCACATGTGCTAATTTGGACTGTCTCAAAAAGTGAATAGGAAGTAATAATGGGGAGCTTGTATATGGATCAGGGATAGAGGGCGCATTGAGAATTACAAGATTTAACTTGCTTTGGGCAATATAATGGGTTATAAATGCTGGAGCAAGCAAGGTAAGATTCCTACCAATGCCAAGATGAGTAGAGACGGGAAACTTTTGTTGGGATAAAGCTATAGTGTGAGAGGAGGTGTCAGAATTTAAAAATCTGATCTTTGCCAATTGTCAAAATAAAAAGGCTTTTAGTTATATTTCTTAATGGTATAAGTATATACTATATTGTTGTTGGGCTTAGGATTCTTCTACAGTAGGTGTCTGTGACTTGTTAGCAATAAATTCCATGATGAATAAACAGCATGCACTTAACTTGTTTTCAAAATAATATATGTATTCAGAACAAGTTAACGTATGTACAATAAATTGTTTAACACTATAGATATTATGGACATATCATAAATACTATATATGTAGTCCCCTCTTCTTGTCAAATATCCACTTAGGCATATTTAGTTACTTTAGAAATTCAGTTGACAAGCTAAACTATCTTCTATATTTCTATCACACGATTATTCTCTGTAATTCACTTACATTTGTGGCACGAGTTACCATAATCATTTGGTCTTCTTTATTTTGAAGATCCTATGCTCCTTTTGTCAAAATGCACTCAGGCTGATTCAATTACTTTACAACCACCTTTATTATCCTTTATCACATTTGTAAAGACTATTCTGATCACTGATGTAAGATTAATAAGCTTATAATTACCTGGACAATTTTACAATGTCCCTTGAAAAGAATCCTCTGGCACCTGCCCCATAGTCAAAAACAAAAAATAGTAGCAAGTGGTTCACATATTCAATCCTTAACCTCATGAAAAACCATTGGGTAAATATTATCTGGCCCAAGATACCATTTTTTAACTTGTCAATTTTTTCTTAACAAGCTCAGAATTAATGTGATCATTGTGTTTGATCTTTTTCCATCTAGAATCTCTTCAAAAATGAGGAACATTGCTTAAATGTAGAATTCAATAACTCAGCCATCTCATAATCATTAGATATGAGCCTTTGTGTCTCATCCTTCAAAGGCCCTACTCCCATCTTAACATTTTACTTACCCTTAATGTATTTAAAGAAATTCTTACTGTTAATTTTAACATTTTTGGCAAAGCATTCCTTATATATAATTTTCAATTTTCTAATTTACTGTTTGACCAACTCTGTTGCTCTTTTATAATCCTCAAGTCTCTCATTATAGCAGTCAATCTAAACTTATTAAATGATTAATGCTTTACTTTAACTTTATGGGCCAATCATTTTTTTTATGCAGCTAACCCCATTTGTCTCTATAAGGAACATGTCTATTTTAAATATTTAAGATTTTATTTAAAAAATGTTTCCACATCATATCAGTAACTCCAATTAATTCAGTTGTTTAATTCACAGCAAGTAATTCTTGTTGCATCCCTTAAAAATTTGCTTTTTTGAAATTTGTAACCATAATTATATGCAGTAAAACATCAAACCTAATTGAACAATGATCACTTTCACCCAGATGTTCCCCAGTTTCACCTTATCAAATGTTAATAATTCTTAAAGACCATTGTTCACTAGGAGGTTCTCTGATCAAGTAGTGAAGAAAACCATCCTGAATGGTTTCTAAAAACCTGTCTTTCTCACGTATGACTTTTAACATTTTCCTGCATGGCCTCCATGATAGCTGAAATCCTAATGTTATTATAGAGTTTCTCATTAATATCACCAGCTTCTTTGGGTGATCTGAAACAAATTGCAACTGAAAGCCTCTTCCTATATATATTGTAATGGAAACTCAAAACATTTAGTCTCCTTGGTGTTATCTTTGATATCCTCAACTTCAACTGGATGTAACTCACATTTTAAATATCAAGCCACTCCTCTCTTTATTTCTAGTACTCTATCCATATTAAATAACCTTAAACCCTGTATTTCAAAGAAATTTCTTTTATCAAATTATTTACATTTAACTAAGCTTCAGTTTACTCCTACTATAATAAAATCCTCATTTCCAAGATTTCTCTAAGTTGATGTGTTTTATTTATTATACTTGCATAAAAATTAACAAATCAATCTATCCTTAAAAGTACCTCTGTACTTTGTTCTTACACTAAACATTTTTTCTAGACCTTATTTTATCATGACCATCACCACTCTCTAGTACTAGTTTAAAGCTGCCCTTGCAAACAAGCTTGCTCCTACCCTATTTAATGTAACAATCCATTCGAGAAAGCTCTCTTTTTACCACTGAACTTATCCCACAAATCCACTCTTACATATTAACCTAGGCTAGCATTCAACCTTAGTGACTTGCATATAATTTCATCTCTGCTATTAACCCATTGACTGTGGCTGCTCTAAATGCATGCAAAATTTTTGCAAGCTGTACACCATATACAGTACATTTGCAATCATATGCTGGAGGCAGACTGTACAATATATGGCAAATAAGCAGTCAATAGGTTAACTCTTGGCAGTATCTCTGACACAAGTTATAACCCTTTTCTTTCAATGCCTTTATCAACCTCTGTGCTTATCAATTAGCTCCTCTGACCTACCCTTTCCTAAGTCATTAGCCCATATGTGTAGAACAAATCCTGTATTACTGCTGGTACCCTGTACTATATCACTTGTTCTGTTAATTATTTCCTCCACCACTGATAGTATAACCTAATTCTTCTCTCCCTGTTTACACCACAAACTATCCTATCCACATGCCATACTCAAGAATCACCTCTAGCTATAACATCCTTTAGTTTTCATTCCCATCTGTCTCTGCTCCTTTAGTTTTCCTCATCTACAGATACTTAAGAATGAAATCCGGTACTTAATAGAACCTGCCAATTACAATTAAATCCACTTAAGAGTGATAGTAAAGAAGAATGTATAACAATGTCAACCAGTATGTTACTTTAGTTGATTAGTTGGATGTTCATTCAATCCTTGTTTACCTGTTTAGTGTTTTCTGCTACTGTTTTGCCATAGTACAAAATACTATTTTATGAACAATCATTATTTACCAGCATGTGAATGTAATGTAGTGTTTAAAAATTAAAACTTTAATATGAAAGTTTTTCTTAATTTAGCTTATTTGTTTTAATGAATATGATTCATTTATCAGCTGAAAATAGTTTTTATAAATTCAAGTTAGTGTGAATAAAAAGTTCATCTTTTTAATTTTTTATTTAATATTTTAACTTTTAATATACCCAGTGGTTTGTGGAAAATGTGGATATGAAAAATATGTTGATTTTTTTGCCTTCTTGTTGTGTTGTAGCTATGAAAGTAAAGGAAAACAGTTTGCTAAGAATAAACCAATACTTCCACCAGGGCTTCATCTTGAAGAAGTAGTCAAAGTACAGCAGGGTCAATCAGGGTCAATACCTGGATTAACAGAAATGCTACCACCAACTACTACTAAATCAACTAAAAAGAAAAAGAAGAAGAAACACCAACAACAATGTAATACAAGTGACCAAAACTTAGCAAAAGATGTGACCAATCTTCATATATCTGAAACTGGTTGGGATAAAAACAATGAAACTAGTGAGAACAAAGCATCTGGAGACCCTGTAAAGAGGATTAAAAACTTGAAAAAGAAATTACGAGATATCGAAAAACTTGAGCAAAAAATAGAGTCAGGAGAACTTCTTAAACCAGAAAAAGATCAGTTGGAAAAGATTTCTAGAAAAGGGGAGATTGAGGCTGAAATAGAGGATCTGGAACTAGATCTTGAACTACAAGATGACTGACTTGAACAATGGGTAATACTTTGCACAATAGTAAATAAAGATTTTGATTACAATACAAATCAAAATTGCTATAGAATTAATAACTATCAAACTTGTGTTTAAAGATACTAAATGTGTATTAAAAAACTTACTTAGATTTTGCTGGCTTACTTTGGGTTAATAGTAGTTTCAAAAACCGTCATCACATGATTGTTTACATCACTTATTTAATCTTGATTGCAGTTTTGATGTCATAGCTTTATTTTCTTTAAAAAACATCTATGCTAACACATCATGCATTAAAACACAACACAAAAGCATTCATTATTATTAACATTATCTGGGGCAGCTTAGCTCAGTGGATTTGTGTTTTGGATTTATAATTGGATGGTTGCGAGGTCGAGGCTGGCTCATGTCTTGCTTTCATGTCCTTGAGCAAGGCATTTTACTCCATTTATTCAAATCTACCAAGGCTAGGGATAAATCTGCAATGACTAGTATCTCATCCAGGGGGAATGGATACCCATTCTCATCTGCTTGTGCCACTTGAAACCAGAATTCAAAAGCACTGGCTCCATGTGCCTTGCGAAGGCACTGCAAGAATTTAATTTTATCTTACCTGGACTGCCAAACATCTTTAATGTTGGAAGTGCATTCTTGCATATAAAATTTCAAAATATAAGCATAAATAATAATTCTAACAATTTTTAACTCAAAATTTGTTTAAAGTTGAATTTTAAATCTTGTACCATTTATTTAGCATAATTTGCAAAAGAAAAATTAAAAATGTTTCAGCCTTCATTTCAGAACAAGACATTTCAATTTTTTAGAATTTTTCTTCTATCCCAAAGTCAGGTTTATATTTGATAAGAAACTATCATTCCTTGTGAACATAATTATCACATGTTGTTTCTCTTGTGATTTTCCTTCTCTTTAGTATTTTTTTTATTACTGAAGCTCTTCACTCTCACCCTTTTATGGTGTCACATTGTATGGTCTGAACAATCGCTTCAAAAATAACCACAGACAGTATTTTAAATACAATTGATAGAGCTGATTGTAAACTATGTATGACATTGTATAAAGTGGTGTAAGCAGTAATTTTGTACGTTTTTTTTTATGATTTGTAGCCAAAAAGTGGTGACTACTACTATTGGCAAAATAAAGTTTCAAAAGAAATATGTTAGTATCAATCAAGTTGAAAATGAGTATAAAGAGGAACTTTCTGATCAACAAGGTAGTAATTTTTTTTTTTTTTCAAAACAGTATCTGGCAACAACATTTTGGAAATTTTACATTCTTAAAAATGATAGAAAAAAGTCAAATAATAAGAATTTTTTGAACTGAAACTATATTACTATTTAGTAAGTATGTACTAAGTTCCATGCAGTTTGGTTAAGTATTTCCACTGTGAAAAGAAAAAAATTAAGGGATATTGGTGACACCATTCTGGTTTATAAATAGATAATTACAACCTTTTAACAAATGCTTTTGATCCGTTGTTCATCTTAAAAGTACAGGTAATGTCCAAGGTTAAGCTTAGATAGCAGCTATAATGCTACATTCAAGGTTGAAAAAATTAAGATAATGGTATTCTACATGCAACTTCTTTGGAAAATTTTATTTAAATGTGAAAACTAAATAATTTTTCACATTTAAATAAAATTTTCCAAAGTCTTGATACTGATATTTTGGGGCATTTTTGGTGACAGCTGGAACTGTGTGTTTGTTCCATTAGGCCCTAAATTCTTCACTTTTTTTTCTATTTTTCAAATTCTGCTGTGGCCTGTTCTTTTTTTTTTATCAACTGATGAGAGCATTTATGATGGATTCATTTAGAAACATCATTAGTCTATGGGTTGTTTACTGATCATTACATCTCTAATATATTGTAGAAAAGGTTTGAGATTTCCTTACTGCCAAACTTTAAAATTTGATCTAATATTGTTTTGTAGTCATTATCAGGGATATCATCTTACTCTTTTTATTTTTTTTTAGTGGACTTGAAGAATTTTGTATGTATACATGTATTTGGGTACCACACCTATGATACCATGCTAAAACTTCATCAAAGTATTGACTTCGACCATCTTGCTCTTCTTGTTCCAGTGAGATAATCCAAACTGTTGTTCAATTCAGGCAGATTTACTGGCTAGGGATCCTGTTGGGCTCTATCAGCTAGGGCCAGCTTATCTCCTTTGAAACTTATCTTTGGTTTTTATCATTTTTTCTTTGTTGTTGTTGTTGGTATTCCTTTCATTCTTTCCTGTTAATTATGTAATGAGGTAGTATGTCTTTATATTGTACCAAAGCACTTGGTACATGAAGACTGTTCTATCATAGGGTAAGAAGTGTTCTGTATCCTAGGTATGTAAAAAATTTGGAGGTAGGCCTCAGAATCTTACATGCATTTCAGATGATGGGTATTGCAATCAAGGGAGGTTTGGCTTTAGATTTAAGTCAGTGAGCTGTAGTCAGTTCCTCTTCACCCATTTATGTGCCTCAGTAGTTTACTGGACAATAGTTTTCTTTTAGGTTATAAAAAAATTAATGTAAAGCTCTGTTTGGTAACATTTTAACAATCAGCATATCTGTGCTAATCAGCTATTCCTGGTATGAATTTAATTTTTTGTATTTCAGTAAATTATAATTACATGAAGCTTACTTAGTTATGTTGATTCTCTGTTGAGCATATGAATTAAATTATCACCTAAGTAATGAGATGCACCTTGTGATATATTTTTCTTCTATGATAGATAATTAAAATTCATCACATAATTTTTCTGTCCTTCAATTTTACATATGAAAAAATAGTCTTATATAAAATTTTTGCTCTAAAGAGTGACAGTTTTAAATGCAACTCAGTTAACCTTTTGACTGCGGCTGCTTTAAACATTCGCAGAATTTTTATGAGCCATACACTGTATACAGCACACTCACATTCTACTGCCAGAGGGGGACCATATCCTATATGGTAGATCAGCAGTCAATGGGTTAAAATGATATAGATCATTTACTTTTATGAAGTAGTTAATAGTTAAAATTATTGATTTTAATGTTAAATTTTGTCTTGAAGTTGTACATGAATTTTAGTTAAGCTTTGAAAATATGTATGTTTACATAAGCTGAAACAAATGCCTTTTTTTCTTCTTTCAGAGACCTGAAAGGCAGACAGAAACAGGCATAAATTCATGATTTTCAAAAAGTTTAAAAAAAAAGTAATACCTCATTTCCCTGTTTTTTTTGTTACTAAAGTAATTGAAGTGAACCATTTTTTGTAAACGGTCTGTAAACATTAGTATATTACTTGTAAAATATGTTGTACTTAATATTTTACCAGTGTTTTTGTTTACAACTGAAATGATTTTGAAACTATTTACTTGACAAAATTGTACAAAAATTAAAGTTTTGGAAGCATTTGAGTTCAATGGAAGGTGTGTTTGCGTAAAATATAACTCATTCAAGCTAATTAAAAAGGGGGTTATCAGATGTCATCGTCTGAGATTGTTAGAAATATTGGTACCTGTTTAGATAATAGGGTGCATGTACATCACTAAAATATATATATATATATATATATATATATACATACTTGTCATAAATTTTATTCCTCCAGAGGGCCTTTATAAAATTACTTTTTGATCATAATTCAACATAATTTACAAACAGTATATTTACAAGGCACTGTAAATATTATTGCCAAAGTAATTTATCAGTATTGTAAGTTTTAATGTAAAATTACTTTTTTTCAAAAGTTTCTCTTTTCTTTTGCTACATCCAATAGGGACCAGCACCAAAGCTATTTATTGAACAATCACATGACCTTATAACATCATTAAACATCAATCTCAGACAAACTAAAGCTTGAGTGGCATTGAAAGCATAGATACCAGACATAGGATTGGCAATTGTAGTTCATTTCATTCTGCACTAAAATTTTGTGAAAGATTAAAATGTTAACAAAGATAATTATTTATTTTATTCAAAACTGAAATATAAAGATAAGTGCTTCTGTTTTTCAAGAGACGGTTAGCACAAAGCATTGTTGCTGAGGAATTTGAACAGCAATAGTAGATATGCAAACAAGAGTCAAAAAGGAATAATTTTCATTCCCTTCTCTAAACCTACAGTGTAAAATGAAAAATATTTTAGGTCGATTAGAGCTAGTTGATGATAGTTTGTCAGAAAAGATTGTTTTAAATACCAAAAAAAATGTTCTGAGATCTTTGGATTTGGAGCTTAAAAGGCAGACTCGGAGATTGATACCATAGAATTATATCACAAGTAACATTCCAAAAACATTTAAATTTTCTTTAGGTTTTTGATAAGATTTCAACCTATGGAAGCAGGTTGTTGTCAGGTTACCTTACAAACTGAAAAACTATTATATTACTGAATTACCCAGTATAATTCTCACTTAAAGTTAAGTTAAATTACATCTAACAAGGCTGGCTAAACAAAGCTGAGAGTGAGTAGCAGAAACCTTAAAATGTCTATCACTGTAGTACTAGTACGTGTATATAACTAGTCAGTAGTTGTCACTATTTGTATTCTAATGTTTTGGTAAAAATTTTGCCTTTGGTATATCATCCTTTCTCAAGTTGGTTTGCACAAACTTTGAAGTTGATGCCATTTGCCACTATTACCTCATTGTTCACTAATGTCATTTGTGCTGGTCCCTATTCATGCAACAAGTGTATTATTGTTGCAGTTTAAATGCTGAAAACTGTTGAAGCATTGGAAACCAATAGGCCTAAAATGTGTGATAAAGAAATCACAAACTTCAGATTTTTTTTTTATTTTCTGTGTTTAAATTGTATCTTCTAAAGTATGATACTGAATTTATATGAATAGTGTTTTAGAGAATCTTTGTCTCTCGTCATCTGGCCCAATTTACAAACTGTGGTAATGAATGAAAGGCATCTTGAGCTATGATTTGTAGAAGACAAAATATAGATCTGAAATGCTATTTTTACATGTCTGTAATTTTGAATCAGAAATGGACAAATTAACGACTAATGTGGAAAAAATTTTGCAGTTTATATGATGTTTTTATCCCAAAATTTAATGTGTTATTGTGATGTGAAGTAATAATCTAGGGTTTAAATGTTACTTTGATAAAATGAATTATTCTTTTTTTTAATTAAATCTGAAAGACAAAGAAAATATTTTATTGCCTTTTCAAATGCCATAAGGAAGGAATTATTCAACAGACCCTTGTTGGAGAGAAATAAAATAATTGAAGAAAACTTCTCTCACAAAATTGATCCTGTATGTTTTATATTTAAAAAAGTGGTTTACTTTTGTTTAAAAAAGACTTGTGTGAAATGATTGAGTTTACTAATGGCAGTTTTATTTAGTCTTCATACTTTTTTTTTTATTGTTGGTGTAACTTAAAATTGTATTCTTACTCTATCAATGTTTAGGATTAATGTTTTTTAAACACATGTACATGTAATGTGTATGTACCATTACATTTTTTGTAGTAAAGAAAAACTGTTTGTACTGGCACCCAATTCATTATTTTTCATTTTCATACATAAAGTTTTGCATAATGTATCCTGTGAGCATTCAAAGTTATGCTTTTGCTGACCCATATTTCATAAAATTAGTGGAAATATTAGATTTTTAAGTAACTTGCTGTGTGTGTGTGTGTAACCAGTTAGTAAATAGTGAATTGTTTATGCTTTGAAGTGTTTTTTCTTTCTTTCTAGAGGTGTGTACAGATACAAGAGGGTATTAGCAATTGTGTATTTATCATTGCATCTCCTGTACATGTTTGTACTAAATGTGGAAGTACCCACATGTGAGGTAGTTCTTTATGCTTATTGTGAATTTGTAATTTTTTGTGTGTGTGTGTGTGTGTCATCAGTCACTAAAGCCTTCAAAAGATAAAAGGTTTTACAAGAAGTCTTCCATTGGTAGTGATTTGATTTTTCTAAACGTGTGTGTGTTTCATAAAAGTTTAAAATATATGTAATATTAACCTATCACAAATAATAAAAAGTGGAGGAATTTGAACTAGGTATCACTCCACAAGTCAGTGTAATAAATATATAAGAAAACAAATTAATTATAATGAATTTTCAAGATCCATATTTTCAACTGATCAAAATATTATTAGGATACAGTTATTAACAATGTATTGCTTGGAAGATTAAGTATTGACAAACTCAATGTTTCTTTTAAGATAAATTGAGAAATTGGATATATCTAAAGGTTTTAACTACATCAAAAATAAATTTGTTTGATTCTAACACCAGTTTTTTAATGGCAATACACAGATGCTACCTACTCTTGAATGTAACTCAAACTCTCAGGTACTTAAAAAATGTTTTTAGAACTTCTAAAGGTAGTGAATCTAATTCATAACTGATAATAAAAAAAAGTCATCGCACATGTTTGGGCTTTATATTATGGGTGAATGTAATAAAATAATAATAATAATTTTGTTTCTTGTTCTAAAATTTTCTGTCTACATTTTTGCAATTTTTCAAAACTAATGTGGTAAATTAGAAAGAAAAAGATTTCTTTAACTAGCTATTGGAAAAGAATCTACCATATCTGGCTTTTTTGAATGAATTAAACTCATGATTTATTATTCTTTTACTGCTTGAGGTATTTTTTTTACTAACATCCTTTAAAATATTTGGTGCATCTACAAGTTATATGTCAGCAAGCTGGTTTACTTGATTACTGTTCAAGCTTCTCTGCTCATGTAAATAAACATGAGCACATATCTGAAAGTTATGGTTCAGTTGTTGTTTTTTATAAGAATGTTTAATGCTACACAGACAAATACAATAATGTCATCTAGATTACATACATCTGTTTTAATGCTACTCTGCTTGGCCACTTTATTAGGACCTCCAATCAGTGTGGTATAGACCACAAAATATGCTAAAAGGTGTTTGATTTTAGTCCATTCTCTTAAGCTGTAGCTTGATCATAGAGGTCAACAGAAGCTTGTATTGATGAATATATTTATGTACATCACAAGTGTTGAGTCAGATTAAGATCTGGGGATTCTACTGGTCGATACTGGAACTACACTGCAGGATTATATGGCTTGTTTTTTTTCTCTGTACTATATTAACCTTTACTGTCATGGTGAAACACAAATCATCAAATACGTGTTTAAAGCCATTCATTGTTCACAATTTGCACTCTGAAACCATGCTTCTTTGTTTGCATCTGATGTAAGCAGTTTGAATTGGTTGTTAGGTTTCACATCACAGTTGTAATGGTTCCCTGACATAAGAATGTGAGTACCTCCAAAACCAGTAGTATTGTCCTAAATGCCCTTAATGTTGATATACATAACTATTAAACATATACCCCTTTTGAATGTGGAAAAAATGAAGCTATCAGGTACTTTTGGGTCTACTTTGAGTTTTAGTTGCATTGCAGATTAATATCATCAGTGGCAAGACTTTTAATTTTATTATGCCAGGGCACTGTATAATATCCTTTACATAGTATGACTGCAGATAGTTGAATTCTAATTATAAGAACTGGCTGTTATATACACCAAAGTTGTATGATGGAAGAAAAAAAAATGAAATTGCAAGAAAAAACTGTTTTTCCATTTTTTCTATAAATAATTTCAAAGATTAAGATTTTATAGTAAAAACTGCTGATAAAGTACTAAAATATTAATGTCACAAACACCTCACTTTGCCTAATACGAGATGCTAAATTTTGCTGGAATACAACAAATGATACATGAATCTGTTCCTTTCTAATCTGTGCTTGTTAAAACTTGGGCTTTCATCCTTCATATTGTGGCTGTTGCAACTTATGCCACATGTGTTTGTCAGTTTTTATTACAGTATGTGTATATTTTATAAAAAAAATTGTGTGTGTTCAAAGGGTGAGAACCACTAGTAAGGAAAGTGTGTAAATTATATAGTAAAATAGTACTGTCACAAATAACGAGAAGTTGAAACTACCCCTTCTATAGGTGTTGTGGAAGATTGCAGCATTGGTATTGAATAGGACAAAAGTAACAATGGCAAAAGTGTCAAACCATCATTCAAATAAAACAGAACTTTAATAACATCTACTGTGAAATGTAGACTTTAGCTATTATATTGTTAACATCTGATTAAAATTCAAAGCATGGTAAAGAAAAAAGTAACAGGAAGCTAAAAATTAAACTAGATAGGATTTGAATGTAATGGCCAAGATGTTACTATGTTTTATGCATCAGGAGAGAATGAAATAAGTGATTCTGGTGTGATTGAAAAACAACTTAAAAATGAATAGATGTTACTAATATGAACAAGAGGTGTTATGCTGTAACATCTGGTGTTGGCCTTCTGTAAATGTTGAACTTCATATGGGCACAATATGAAAAAGTTGATCCGTCAGGTTTAACTTGGAAACCTCCCTATAATTGTAAGATTTCACCAAAATATTTAATCAGCATAAAAACTTAATGTAAGATTTTTGATTTTTACTTTGGTAAGAATGCTTGCCATGTGCACCTCTTGTGTATTAAGTGCAAATTTATGTGGATGAATTTTCTTCAGAATGGACAACATTTTGTGTTTTGATTAATACACTTACAGCTGCATTTCTTTTAACCATGAACTTGATGCCCTAATTTTAAGGACTGAATTCTACCTACTGATGAAGGAAATGGTTGCTTGGAACAGCATGACATGTGTTGCACAGTTCAAGACCATCCAATTGTCTTTTCCTTTGATCTGTCATCAATAGTTTTTTCTACCCTTGATAGACTTCAGCCAGAATGTCCTTAACAGCCAGTTTTGTTATATATAGATATATAAAAAGGTCCTGCTGGGTGGTCAACTTTGATAGTCGAGAGATTTTACAGGATAACCATGATATGGCTGCATCCCAAGCAAATGTCTTGCACATTATGAGGCAAGTATCTTGCATATGCAACTAAATGTTGTATAAATGTGTGTGGTATCTTAAATAAAGTTTACTTTAAGAATTTTTTTGAATCATCCTTAATAAAATAATCTTACAAAAAAAAAATGTTATAAAAACTGCTATTAATATTGCAATTAAATTCCACTAACTACTGCTTCGTGTTTCCTATGTGTTTTACACAGAAAATGTGTTTAGTGTAAAAAAAAGTCTAAAAGATTAAAGCCACTGCAAAATCTAATATGCTGTAATTTACATCCTAGAGATAACATTACACAGCACAGCTAAAATAATACATAATTTAGAGAATAGAACAAGCTATAATGGATGTTTGATTTAATTTCAGATACACACCTATCAAATATCCAAAGATAATTGGACACCCAGTAAATCATAAATTGTTTGAGTTGTTTGTTACTTGGAAATTTACCAAAAAATTAACAGTTATGAACTTAATGATTACTCCCTGGTACTAAAAAAAATGTCCCAGAGTGCAATACCCTTATTTGGAAATATTTTGAAAAATTGGTAACTTGGAGTTTTAACAAAAAGAGACATTCAAAATTAAAATTTTAGCATGTTAATGTAATAACTACCTATTTGTATATATTATCTACCTAAGAATAGTTTATGAAAATTGACTGTGCTTCAATTTACAAGAACAAGAACTTCAAGTCAGAGTTATGAATTTTTGTTGGAGCTTTGAATTTCTAAGCAAATGATTGTTCATTGAGTATATAATTATTCAACATGAATGAAAATCAGTCTTGTGCCATAATGGATGTTGCCCAATATTATAAAAATTTTGACAACTTCTTTTATTTGTACAGCTTACATTTACATGACAATTGAAAACTGCATCTGGATATTTTAAACATGAGTGGTTAATAAACAATTGGTATTCAATTTTTAGACTTTCTGAGCTACACGAAACAAATTTTTATAAAAGGCAGTAAAAAAATCAAAACAACTAGAAATTCCAAGAACAAGTCATTTCCTTTACAATTTAAAATTTTGGGAAATAAGATGTCTCTTACACTTATTTAAAACAATTTTACACCAGATATTTTTTGTAATCATACTATGCATTTGATTGCTACAAATACAAAAGTGCAGATCTACATTATAGCTAGTGTTAAATGTTCAAACATGTAGTGGCTGATGGCATCAACTGCTGTGATAAAAGGCTTGACAGAATATTGATTTTTTTTTGTTCTCACTTTACCTGTACATAAGTAATTTCCTAAATGTTTGTAATACTGAGTTTTTACTGTGCATTTGTAAGGTTTTATTGTCATTGTGATCTGTATAAACTTAGATAAGTGTGTTTGTTTTTTTAATCACAATTAATATGTTGATATTAATAGTTCTAATAATGATAATGCAGTTGGCTTTCTTCGTAGCTCCACAACTTTTTACTGCAAAACATTCAAATCAAAATACTAATTCATAAAATTCATGTAACTGGTATTAACATTACTATTTGAAGAAAAATTAGTCATTGTAAGTCTTGGAATTTTAAAAGGATTTAAGAGAATATTCAAACTAAGCATAAAGAATATATTGTTGTTCTTAAGTACAATTACAGAGGATTGAGTACACTATTAAAATGGTTTTGAATACTTAAATTAGCAAGTCAGAACAATCCCCACCCAATATAAAGTTGATGTGGAACTATATTTATCAGAAATATATCTTAACATTATTTTACATTTCAAAGGTAGTGTTAAAATTTATTGAATTTGGGAAAGGTAACAGCTCCTTCCAATGCATAAATATTCATACATTTAGGTCGTAAAGACGTGATCAAATTCATTGGACTTAATGGCATTGGAAAACAAAGGAAAATAGATCAATACACCAATGTCATTGGCAAATGCCATCCACTTGCCCCAGGCAGCAGTACACAATGAAATTAACCCTATGAACACAAGTGGGAGTCAAAATGCACAGTCACAATTTTTGTAGTGTGCCATTCACCCTGATACGTATTTAACATCAGTTATCAATTTTACCATACACACAGCTGACTTAGCAACAGTTTATGGTAGAGGAGAGTAAGTACAATATACACTATATGGGGCTACTGAAAAAAACTAGTTATACATTTTGAAGGTCCTAGAGGTCATGCAAATTATATGATGGGAAAAATATGTTTATTTTTCCACCTCAGCTTTTCAGATTGAGGTTGTTAATTCACAGACTTATTTTATGCACAAATACGTTTGTAAATTATTTGATTTTTTGTGTAAAACACTTATACATTTTACTAAAAGCTACCCACATTTTATGTAGATACAGATAGTAAATTCAGAATTATAGTTAATATTCCTTCTCGAATACAAAATCAGTCTATTGGATTAAGTCCGTGCACATTTGGTTAAGAAGGTTCTTTAGAAAAGTGACAAGTCATGCGTTTCCAAAACATATCCATTTAAATACTACATATCTCATGCAACTAGCTAAAAAATGAAACGGGTGTTCACGCTATTCCACAAGTTATGCTGGACTTGGCTACTATCAATTTTTCTGTAGTTGGAATGTTAAAACAGGCCATGAGAAACAGCTATTCTCATAAATTAGACAGATTATGAAAAGCTAGCAAGGAAGAAGGTATGCTTTGGACATGGCAGCCAAATATGGAACTTTTCTGCAGAGTTATTGTCGAAATGTATAGTAGTTAAATGGAGCGTGATGAATGAATATGATAATACAGACTTTAATGATGTGGTTCAAGGCTCTCCAAATCATTTTAATAACATATTAGACATGATCTGCAAAACATTTTTGGTAGTTTTCGTGCCCACCATTTAAGCTGCACTTTCTTGCAGGCATTATGTTAGATCTATAAATCCTGGTCTGTTTGAAAAAAAAATTGTGGTCAGACAAACAAACTCGCATAGACATAGCTTTACTTAATAAAACTACACATACAATAAACAAACAAAGTATGAAGCAGTTTTTACAATTTGTAACACAAAAAATTAAAATCTGTACTAAAGAAAAACGTAGCTAAAAGTTGTTTATAGCAGTCTATGAAATAAACCAAAGCTAAATTATTGCAAAGTTGTAATGAAGACAAGTGTAGCTGATTATGCAGAATTGTCCAAGTGTTAACAGTGATAAGAATATGGTTTTGAACAACCTGTACACATAATTTAGACCAAAATAAGTCAAGAAAACCCATAGCAACTTTATTTAGTGGAATGCTCATTTTTGTTAAGGAAATTACGTGCAGGTTAAGTGTTGTTTGTGTGAAATACTTTGCAAATAAAAAACCTAAAGTTGAAATCAAAGTCAGTAGTCATGTAATGATAACATTGTATTATTGTGTAGCATACTTGTTGCATTAAAAAGTCTGACTGAGCAAAAAACAGGTGGGGTAATTCTTAATGGAAAAGCAATATGTAATCTGGACTCCTTGGACAAAGGTCCATCTAATGATATTTATTGCATTTGATCAAGAAATTTGCAAGAAAAGTTCCAGGAAGACAGATGAGAGTATATTATTTATATAGATTTGACTTCTATTCTACAGTTATATTTGAAACAGTATCATACTGTCTATCTCATATGAAAAGGTAGAGAAGTAGTTCAAGAGTTGAATATTTACCTTGCTACGTGTGGAATGGCTTTTATATTTATTACACACTTTATGCTTACAATAGCTGGCCTCATAGAAGTTATTTCTATTTTGCTTAATCATTGAATGAGTAACAGAAAGAAATCAGTAATTTTGAATTTTGACATGTAGCATTTTATTAAAAATAAACGTTTTGCACTTTCATTTAAGTTAGTTGAAAAATAACTTTCCTTTCTGTTACTCTAAAATATACAAAAAAATTATGTACTTATGGAAAATTCTAGAAGTATATGACCTTTCATATAATACATAATACTAAAATGCCCACATTTATTTTCCCATGTTTTGTAACTGTTTTAAATAGTTAAAGTGGGCATAGTATTTTGGCTTCATAATTTCACTCTGATGTTATGACAGATCATTTATGTAAACCTTTTAATTTAACTATAAGTGACAGCTTAGTTGTATTTTGGGACTTGCATTGCAAGTGTTTACCATTTTTATATGATCCAAACGTGTATTTTTCAGTCTGTCAAAAAAAAATATACCACGAAAAGTACTAACAGTAAACAAATTACAGAAACTTCATGCAAGAGTAATTTTTTATTCAACGAATTAACAGAAACTGATCAAACTAACAAGCTGGTCAGTTTCTTGTATCCTTTGAAAAATGCCTTTATTCATATAACAACATTTTGATCAGAAAGCATTTTGTATATTGAATAACTGATATATTGTGCACAAGTTACAAATAATTGGTAATACAACATTTTTATATCCCTGTTGCTTTCAGCCACAATGGAATTTTCTCAGTTGTAGTTTTGTTGTATTAGATTTACACCCATGAAACAACTTTAGAATCTTCCCAAATGTATTCACCTTTTGGGGACTTAATATTAGGTGGCAGTAAAGCTGCATATACAATAGGTTCAGCACCTGCAAAATAAGGTATTTTATACACTTCACATATATATATATATTATAGAACAAAGAATAACTTATGGTTTGTTTTTATCACTTTAGAATTTTCAAATTAATTTTTCCATCTAATGTTAGTTGTTTTACACAAAATAGTACTAGACTTGTACATGGATATTTGTTTTCTATGCACCATAATGTTATTTTCATAAATTGTTTAGATTTGTTGATTTTCTTGTCGTAGTTAAATTTACTACCATTAAAACAAAATACATTATAACAGCAAACTTATTTCTGAAAAAAACATTTAAATAATTTTAAATTAGCAATAAAGCAATGCATGTTTTATGTCTTTAGATTTGATTAATTGGGAATAAAAGGTAGATGTATGTTTTGGAACACAAAATCAAAGCTTATTATTTTTAACTAAAGGAAAAATTATGATGAAATGTACCAAAAAAATTTACTTAAATATTAGGGAAAAAAGTAATTTATAATGAAGTGTTAGAAAAATACCAAATTATGATGGCTTCAATTTTTTAAAAATTGATGCAAAATGTTATTTTGCAAATTACTAAAAAACATTTTCCTCAAACTTCGTGAGAGAAACCCTAACATCTTTGGAGATCTGACCATATTAAGAATAAATTCATTCAGAAAACCAACCTTTATGGTAAAAATTCATAGTTTATCCAGGAAAAAAATGGTATAACTACACCACCTTGATCAGTGGTGTGTAAATGACTTTCATTTTTTTAACCTTTGGAGTAGTTAAATACTAATTTTAAAATTTTATTAAAAATAACAAAAGGGAGAACAAAACTGATTACCTTCTTCAATTGTACGAACTCCTTTTCCACTTGTCATGTCTGTATTTACGTATCCAGGATGTACCTAAAGCAAGATTCGTAACTCACTATTGTATAACAAGATCCTTTACTTTGTTAAAGTTGATTTTTAAATCTTGTAAGCTTATACACTATCATCAATAACTTCTGATTAAAACAAACTAATTACACAGTTCAATCTAAAAATTTACACAGTAAATAATGTAGCTAACTTAATATATATCAATCTGAATAGAAGTAGGCTGTTATCGATATATATATAAAACATTAAAAATTCAAATTAGCTTCATTTATATAAATGTATAATATTAATTCTGAGATTTACTAATAGTTAATTTTGATCAAGTACTCTTAGTCTTATCTGAACTTAAATACGATGTTCGCAGTACAGTAAAACAAAAACTAAATTACATTAATTTAGTGGTGTGACCATAAAGCATAAGAAGACAAGAAACAGACTACTTGAAACTAGATATAGCTTCAAAACTTTGAAGTTTGACACAATACTAAATGTTTGAACAAGTGGCATGGGACTAAGCGAAAAACAACTGTGAAAATGCAGTACTGGTGCAACATTTCCCAGTACACAATAATACTTAAAAATCTGAGATGTGTTAATAGAACTCTGAAACTCTGGCCAACAACAATTACAAATCATAGCAGCCACAAAAACAATTATATGTTTTACTGAGCAGTTTAACTTGCACTTACTTAACTGTAGAATTGTCTACTTTAATGATTAAGACTTTTCTTCCATTACATATTCTTAAAGTATACATACATTCATCACTTGAAATTTTAAAAGTAATTTGAGAAGTTATTAAAAAAAAAACTTTATGAATGAACTCTATGTGCACTGGGTTAGTTGATTGGACTGTGCCCCTATTGAATAATTACTACATGTATCTTCACATGCCCAGGTAATGCTAGACTCCAGAGGTGGCAGAGTAGGAGCATTAGGTTACTCCATGTCAGTGACATGAATTTGTGAATTCATATCTGAAAATGTCTCAGGATTTTTTTATTGTAAAATAAACAAAATAGATAAGCTCAAGACTCAAGAAAACATGTCTGAAAAAAAAAAGGAATTGTTCAAATTGTCCACGAAAAAAACAACAAAAAAAACTGTCATCTTAAC